CCCCCCCTCCTCGAGTTCGAACATTTACTGTCAGAGATTAATGTCGCCTGGGCGCGACGGGTGTTCTCAAATCGTCTTTTGTTGTTCGACCGCTGTTCCCAAATTACTCGCTCCCCCTTTGTGACCGGATCTGATCTCCTCTGATTGCCCACCCGCTTTGATGTGTTGATTGTGGTCTGGGCTGCAACAGCCCCCAGCCCAAATGGCCGGCACCTTCTGAAAAGGAATTTGGGGGTGCTGATAACGCACCCAGATGCTTCGACGTGCCCTGATCAAATGAGACTTTAAACATGATACAATTTCGCCCATAGATTCCTCTAACAGGGAGGAAACTGGAGTATTCAGAGAAAACCCACATAAGCACTGTACTGCACTGTGAGACGTATATGTTAATCAGTTGGCCACCGTGGCGCGAAATGGTTTTTTTCTTATCACAAATTCGGACAAGGAGCTGAATCTTACACTAGAATGAACATGCTACATATTCTCATCATTCCATTAGAATGCTGTAATTAGGAGAGCAATATAAACATGAGTGTACAAGGGTCATGCACCGCAAAAAAAAAAAAAAAAACGCATTTACATCGAAATACTGCATGATATAAAGTAGAGGTGTCAATTTATCGCGTTAATTGTGAAAAATTAATTATAGTCATTTTAAGTGTATGTTTTTTAATCGCGTTACCGTATTTTCCACACTAAAAGGCGCACTGGATTATGAGGCGGACCTTCAATGAATGGCCTCTTTTGTAATTTTTTTCATATATTGGACGCACCGGGTTATAAGACGCAATCTACAATGCATCCATTAGATGGAGCTACGCTCAAAGAAATGCAAACAGAAGGCTCAGATGTCAGTATAATGTAGGACAGTGTTTTTCAATCCGTGTGCCGCGGCACACTGGTGTGCCGCCAGACATTGTCAGGTGTGCCGTGGGAAAATATCCAATTTGTATGCCTGTGCGGTCTTTCGCCCAGAAAGTAATCATGTAGTACACTCTCATACCGGTAGGGAGCAGCAACAGCTAGCCAATTGCCTTGTGTTTCGACAAGAGACAAGCGAATTTGTGACACATGAATGCAGGACGACGGTGAAACAATAATTATGAAAGATGATAAAATACTGTTTTCTTTGTGTTCATTTGATTCCAATTCAAGCTGTTATAACGTCATTCTTAAATGTTAAAAACGGTAGTAACAATATAACCGTTATATTGGGGGGGGGGGCACATTTTCAGCTAGTGGTGTGCCGCGAGACTTTTTTCAATGAAAGTGTGCCTTGGCTCAAAAAAGTTTGAAAAACACTGATGTAGGAGACTGGACTGTCTCAGAAGTGTTTGTTATTTATTCCTTTGTTGTGTATTCACAAACGAGGAAATCACAAAATAAATTCTGTAGGGGGTGGGAAGAGAATTTCTTTTGTAATTTCCTCGCTTGGTTTTCTGTTTTGATGCATTATTTTCAATGTTCGTAGTTTCATTGAAGTAATTGTTAATTTACGTTTTTCGGAGGCGGTCATGAACGCCTCTCGAGTCGAACGGAAGAAGAGAAGGCACGGAGATGGACAAAGACGTACCTATATTTGCTGAGACTGTAAAAACCATTAATTAAGTGTGCGTTTTAAAAAACCAACACCACAGCTCTCCTTTTTTCGGAACTGCAACAAAAACGTATTTAATAAAGCAGCGACACAGTTTACTGAACCAACAGCAAGTTTTAACAGTGACTCATTACATATAAACATTTATTTTGTGCAATGAAACACTTTATCCCCCCCAATGTTGTTGCTGTAGACTGCAAATTTCCCCAGTGTGGGACAAATAAAGGTTATCTTATCTCATGTTATCTTATCTTATTAACATTGAAATCTCTTGCCACAAGTCTATTTCCATGTTCTATTGCATGTCTCCAGCAAGGAGCCATTTTGGGGTCGACATATTACCGTAATGACCATACACAAGGTGGATTTAACCCATGTGCTGCAGTTGATCTAAATAAGTTTATATAACGCAACATACAATTTTACAAAAATTGTAAAAGTATTATTCCTGAATATTTATTTCACTTTCAACCACTCGACATGTTCAGTGGCATCAGTGCTATACATACACATATAGTTCTTATTTTTTTCTTTGTATTTTTGCCTTCTATGGACAATAGTATTTTTGCCCTCTATGGACAATAAAAGCGGTATTGTGCTATGACCAAAACATAAATATAAATCTATATAAATAAAACATGAATTGGAATATTTCATATCACACATTTTTTATGCTGTGTCTTTGATTTAAAGATGACAATACGCAAAAATCTACAAAAATTGTAGAAATTGTAACATATGGGGTAACCCATGTGTTACAAACATCGTAGAAATTGCAGCACAAGGGTTACGGCACGCTACGAGCCTTTAGGAAAATGGAAGACTTAGGTGTGCCTTTTAGTGCGGAAAATACGGTAATATAAATTTTAATCTCTAACTTTATTTTTGTCAATCTAAATTTTAATCTCTAACTTTATTGTTATGATTCTGTTTGTGACCAACAGGTGGCACTGTAGGGCTCCCCCTGCAGCTGCACACCTGTTGGTCGTTATGTAATTGTTTAAAAGGACTCCCGGCACAACCATTCAGTGTCAGGTCATTGTTTGCTTGTAACTGTCACGTTTGTTTCTGTCATGGTTCTGTTCCTGTTAGTTTTTTGCCACAGTCATGGTTTTGTTTTAGTACTTTGGGTTCCTTGTGTTCTTGGAACTTTGTTTAGGACTTAGTTTTCTGTGTATCAATACAACTCGTCAAGTTCACCCTGCTCCTCCCTCTTGCCTGCTCTTTGGGGTCCTCCTCCACCTCGCTTCGTGACAATTGTTTCTGTTGGTGGGTTGTCTTTTTATAATATCCCCTTTCATGTGTTGGCTTCCTGTGTTCGAGTAGTTGAGGGTGGGGAAACAACTGTCAGTCACAAACTGAAGCGGACATTGATTGGCTGTCATTACGTTTGGGTTTGTTTAGCATAAGCTGATTGGATCCCATTGGAGTTGGGTGGGCAAAGTAAGCAGCGGTGAGGAGAGGAGAGGTGAAAATGCAGGAATATGTGAGAGTTCTCGGCACAATGAATGGAAAATTTACTTTTTAAATACGCCCTGACGGCACTATTGATAAAAGTATTGTGCCTAATTTGTAAGAAGGACTTTGCTGTCCACCGAAGCAGCTCAGGTTTAGCCTTCCACATTAATGCAAAGCACCCAGTCGTGAGTGCATCCACAGCTAACGTTAGCAACGACAGTGTTAGTAATATAGCGAGCTAAAGTCAGCTCTTCGCCAAACTAAACTCGAGGAGAACACCCGCGTACGAGGCATGAATAAGCATAGTTGCTGTGTCCTCAGTAGCCTACCGAAAGTAGTTGATGTTTATTTCAGCACTTTACACTGTTCATCATGAGAAAATAAACAGTGTGCTAACTTACAGCACTGTGATTTAAGGGTCTCTTATTTTTAATTATCCGAAGCAAGGTCAGTGTTGAGAACTTGTATTGCTCAGAAAAATGTTCTTACTGTTTTTCATATGTTAACTGAAGAACGTTTTATGGACCCTATGTTCTATTTTTATTTTTATTTTGTAATTATTTGGAGATTTACAAAAACAAACAAAACGATATTCACCCTGGTGGTCGAAACAAAAGGTTGCAGGTAGGACTTGGGACAACAGTGAAACTCCTCTACAACAAAATCATGTTTGCAGCAAGAAATTTTTCACAGCAGGGGACTTTTCACTAGAGCAAATTTTATCTCAGATGTAAACACACACACACACACACACACACACACACACACACACACAAAACGTACGTGTACTCTCTATTTTTATTCCAATAGTGCATAAGTATGAGAATACACTTATTTGACACTTCATATAGCCAGTGTAGAAAGAACAAAACGGGAAAGAAATTGCAAAATTTATGATCAGCATTCACTTTCACTGACATCAATTCCTTGCATAATGTCTTTTACTTTGCTTCCTCCGTCTTTCATTTTTATTACTTTTATCCTGTCTTCAAGTGTTAAAGCTTTTCTTTTCTTCACTCCTTGGTCTGCATAGGTCCGTTTTGTAGCCATTTTAGCAATGCCGCGTTCGTGCTGCATCTGAAACTAACAATAACAAATACTTCCTGTATAACTGAACATGTGTAAGCCAGTGTGGTGGTTGATGTTGCCGTTTGCAAGCTAAGCAGTAGCAGTGGCTGTGGCAGGCTGAGGTTGGATTACTTTTGCGGTAGGCTTGTTTTCGTTGTAGTGAACCTCATTGCGAGGCAAGGGTGGAGAAAAGGATTTCGTATTACGCAACAGGGGGGCTTTTCGTTGAAGGGGGGAGCAGAAAAGGGAATGGCTTTAATGCATGAAGATTTTTTCACACTAGGGGGTATTTTCGCACATGTAGGTTTCATTGTAGAGGAGTTTCACTGGAGTCTCAACTACAGCAGCAAGTAAATGGCTAGGACTGCATCTGTTCAAGTCTGTTTACAAACAATGAAAGACTTTATAATGCCACTTTATCTTTTGATCTGCCTCAATAATGGAATGAATTAAAAATGAAAATAGGGGTTTTCTCAGCACTTTTTAGATGAGATTAAAATATAGATTAATTTGCTCAATTAATTACAGATCATAATTAATTAATCTCACTATTTTTAATCTTTTGACAGCATTATTATAAAGTCTGTTCCAATGATAAAATAAATGATTAAAAAAAAGTATGAAATAAGGTTCATGTAATTGCTCAACTGAGAAATTAAAATGTAAAAAAAAAAAAAAAAAAAAAAAAAAAAACTCCAAAAGAAACACTAAAATGTAGTGGGGTAGTGTCACAGACATGAGGCAGAAGAGTGATGATTTGAGGGCTCATTAGTTGGTCTGCTCTAAAGATTTAAAAAGCCCCATCCCAGCCGCTCTCCTCCAAAACAACTAAAACGCAATTAAAACGCAACCCCCATACGTTCAAGCTTCTCACCGTGATGCGGAGACCCTGATGGGCTACTGGAAAGACCAGGTATTGGGCTACAGCGGCCCCCAATGACTCCTGCTCCGCCGAGGACAGACGCACCGCCTCCAATACTGCCTCCGCCTAAACCTCCGCATGTCGACATTCTGTTCAGCTCCTGCTCAATTTCCTCCAAGCCAGCACTCTTCTGGAAGCGTGACATCCGGTTGACAACCCTTGGAGACATATGCGTCCGGGAACAGGGAGCACCACCATAGGGGTTGATTGGAAATACGTGGGTAGTACCACGAAGGGTGCTGATTGCCACCCAACGACTGTCCTGGCTGAAACACATGTCCTGGACCTACAAGAAGACAAGAAATAGCTGTCACCAAACAGAGTCAGGATTCTAAATATGCTGAAAAATGATAAGTGCATCATCAAGTCTTGCCTATCATAATAATAACAAAATAAATAATAATAATAACTAGAGGTGCGAGCAGCTGTGAAGGGCCCTCGCAGCCATGGCAATGTCGGAAGTATTGGTGCCTTGGGATTGTGGCACAAAGGTAGAAAATGAAGAGCATCAAATGAAAAACGAGTTCCATAAAATATGAGGTCTCCAACAGGCCTAAAATGATCCATGAGAAAGGAAATTAAAATTAGCGGGTAACTTGTTGGGTTTAGAGTGGAGTTTTTCTCTATCTTGGGCTGTTACAGATGCCTCCACGTTTGGTAGATCTTGGTGAAATGTTAAAAACATCACCTATGGTCACGAGCTATGGGTCATGACCGACAGAACGAGATCCCAGATACAAGTATCAAGTATCAAGTACAACTTTGTCAAATGTGCTGTATGTGCAACAAACAGCACAGATGAAATTTCTTCCCTCTCAAGAAAACATACAAGCGGCCGAAATGAGTTTTCTCCGCAGGGTGTCTAGGCTGTCCCTTAGAGCTAAGGTGAGAAGCTCGGCCATCTGGCAGGGACTCAGAGTCGAGCCACTTCTCCTCCACGTCAAGAGAAGCCAGATGAGGTGGCTTGGGCATCTCATTAGGATGCCTCCTGGATGCCTCCCTGGTAAGGTGTTCCGGGCATGTCCCACAGGTAGGGGGACCGGGAATGACCCAGGACTCGCTGGAGAGACAATGTCTTCCAGTTGGCCTGAGAACGCCTCGGGATCCCTCAGGAAGAGCTGGAAGAAGTGGCTGGGGAGAGGGAAGTCTGGGCTGCCCTGCTAAAGCTATTTTTCCCCCGTGACCTGACCCCGGATAAGCGGTAGAAAATGGATGGATGAATGGATGGATGTTTTGTTCAAAATTTGTCGGTGGCGCACCAAAGGAATTTTTCTTTATGAATCGCACAATGAACTCAGATGATATTAATCATTTTTGAAAGGTTTAATGCATGTGAAACATCTTTGTGATCATGAATGTTGAGAACATATAAAATAAATTGCATATTTTTTCTTATATATATATATATATATATATATATATATATATATACACACCGTATTTTCTGCACTAAAAGACGCACTGGATTATGAGGCGCAATCTACAATGCCTCCACGAGATGGTGCGACACTCCTTTCATTCAACTCGAGAGACGTTCATGACCGCTTCTGAAAAACGTAAATTAACTATTCCTGTACTTAATGAAACTACGAAAATTGAAAATAATGCATCAAAACAAAAAATCAAGCGAGGAAATCACAAAATAAATTCTGTATCCCCCCCACAGAATTTATTTTGTGATTTCCTTGATTTTCTTCGTGGTTTCATTGAAGTAATAATTAATTTACGTTTTTCGGAGGCGGCCATGAACGCCTCTCGAGTGGAACGGAAGAGAAGGCACAGAGACGGACAAAGACGGACAGTACCTGTGAAAACTGTGAAAATCATTAATAAAGTCTGCATTAAAAAAAAATAACAATAATAAAACCACAACCACATCTCTCCTTTTTTCAACAAATACAGGTGCGTCTTTGTCCGTCTCCGTGCCTTCTTTTCTTCCGGTTAACTCGAGAGGCGTTCATGACCGCCTCCGAAAAACACATTGGCATTTCCTTGATCGTATATCCAACAGTACGATCAGATGTCAGTCGTAGTTATTTATTCCTTTGTTGTGTATTCACAAATGATGAAATCACAATATAAATTCTGTAGGGGGGGCTATAGAATTTATTTTGTGATATACTCGCTTGCTTTTCAGTTTTGATGTATTATTTTCAATTTTTGCAGTTTCATTGAAGTAATCGTTAGTTTACGTTTTTCGGAGGCGGTCTTGAACGCCTCTCGAGTCAAACGGAAGACAGACAAACACGTATCTGTATTTGTTGAGACTGTTTTAAAAAAAATAACACCACAGCTCTCCTTTTTTCGGAGCTGCAACA